GGGGAGAATTTGAGGGATTTTGGGGGTCCAGGGGAGAATTTGGGGGATCCTGGAGGGATTTGGGGGGTCCTGATGGAATTTTTGGAGTCTCAGAGGGGATTTTGGGGGTTCCTGGTGGGATTTGGGGGATCTGTTCCTGAGAATTTTTTGGGGGGGATTTTGGGGGTCCACGAGGATTTTTTGGGGGGTCCTGGTGGGATTTGGGGTTTTTGGGGTGCCCCTAAAAGTCTTTTTCCCCCCAGGAATCCAAATCCTTCGCCGTGGGGATGTTTTTGGGGCGCCTGAACGCCGAGCAGGTGTTCCCCTACCCCTCAGGTGAGGGCACCCCCAAAACTGGGGGAAAATTTAGGGAAAATTTGGGGAAATTTTGGGGAAAATTTGGGGAAATTTTGAGGGAATTTTGGTTAAAATCTGGGGAAATTTAGAGAAGATTTAGGGGAATTTCAAGGGAATTTTAGGGGGAATTTTGGGTAAAATTTGGAGAAATTTAGAGGAGATTTAGGGGAATTTTGGGAAAATTTGCAGAAATTTTGAGGGAATTTTGGGTAAAGGATTTTGGGGTCCTGAGAATTTTTTGGGGGGGATTTTGGGGGTCCACGAGGATTTTTTGGGGGGTCCTGGTGGGATTTGGGGTTTTTGGGGTGCCCCTAAAAGTCTTTTTCCCCCCAGGAATCCAAATCCTTCGCCGTGGGGATGTTTTTGGGGCGCCTGAACGCCGAGCAGGTGTTCCCCTACCCCTCAGGTGAGGGCACCCCCAAAACTGGGGGAAATTTGGGGAAAATTTGGGGAAGATTTGAGGGAATTTTGGGTAAAGTCTGTGGAAATTTAGAGGAGATTTAGGGGAATTTTAGCGGAAATTTTCAGGGAATTTTGGGTAAATTCTGGGGAAATTTTGAGGGATTTTGGGGTAAAATCTGGGGAAATTTAGAGGAGATTTAGGGGAATTTTGGGAAAATTTGCAGAAATTTTGAGGGAATTTTGGGTAAAATTTGGGGAATGGAATTTTGTGGGTAACTTGAATGTAATTTTTCAGAATTTTGGGACAATTTTGGAGTAATTTCAGGGCAATTTTGGAATAAGTTTGGGATAATTTCAGGGTGACTGCAGGACAATTTTTGGGGAGATTTTTGGGATAATTTCAGGACAATTTCAGGAAATTCTGAGGATAATTTCAGGACAATTTCAGGACAATTTCAGGAAAATCTGAGGATCATTTCAGGACAATTTCAGGAAAGTCTGAGGATAATTTCAGGACAATTTTGGGTTAATTTTGGGATAGCTTTTCTTTAATTCCCTCTCTTCGCCCAGTCCTGACCGAGGAACAAGAACAAACCCTGCAGGAGCTCGTGGGTCCCCTCAGCCGCTTCTTTGAGGTAAAAAACCCCAAATTCCCCCCACTCCCACCTCCCCCCCATCCAGGGAGAGCCTCTGGAATTCCAGGAATTCTTCCCAAATCCCCAAAATTCCCCAAATACTTCCCAAATTTCGGGGCAGGAAGTGAACAACCCGGCCAAGAACGACGCCCTGGAGAAGGTGGAGGACGAGACCATGAAAGGGTTAAAGGAGCTGGGGACCTTCGGGCTCCAGGTGCCCCCCGAATTTGGGGGGCTGGGGCTCAACAACACCCAGGTGAGGCACCCCCAATTTGGGGAGCCCCCAAATCCCCTCCCAGTAACTCCCAGTAACTCCCAGTGCCCTCCCAGTGCTCCCAGTTCTGTCCAAAGTGCCCCAAATTCTCCCTAATCCGCCCCAAATGTCCTCAAATCCTCCCTAAATCCATCCAAAATCCCCCGGGACCCCCCAAAATTCCCTCGGGACCCCTCAAATCCCCTCCCAGTAATCCCAGTAACTCCCAGTCCCTCCCAAACCTCCCCAAATCCCCTAAAAACTCCTCCAAACCCCCCTGGGACCCCCCAATCCCCACCCCAGGGGGTTCCCAGTGGCTCCCAGTAACTTCCAGTGCCCCCCAAACCTCCCCAAATCCCCTCAAATCCCCTCAAGTGCTCCCAGTTCTGTCCAAAGTGCCCCAAATCTCCTCAAATCCACCCCAAATCCTCCCTAAATTCCCCAAAATCCCCTCAGGACCCCCCAAAATTCCCTTGGGCCCCCCAAATCCCCTCCCAGTAACTCCCAGTAAGTCCCAGTAACTCCCAGTGCTCCCAGTTCTGTCCAAAGTGCCCCAAATCTCCTCAAATCCACCCCAAATCCTCCCTAAATTCCCCAAAATGCCCTCAGGACCCCCCAAAATTCCCTTGGGCCCCCCAAATCCCCTCCCAGTAACTCCCAGTAA